CATAAATTTCTTGACAATTAGAAAATTATGTAATAAATCACTGATAACGTTAACTGCTCTTATGATATTTTTGTAGATATTTATATAATTATACAATGTTGCGTTTATCATTCGATGCAGCAATCAGCAATTGCTTGTACGAAAACGGTTTAAGATAAGGAATATTAAATATTACGTAATTTTCTATTTTATACACTCACAATAAGTATTTATTACTGCAAAAGTGTTCTCTCACTTTGAAATTTTATGTGACATAAATGAGGAATAAACAATCACCGTGATCTGTGAAAAATAATGTTACAATTTACAACTATACCCTTTAATTTTTATCCATTTTAATTCATTAGATAAAATTGTTTTGAAACTGAAAGTAGTTTAAATTGAAAGTAATTTATCACGTAGGAAATTCACTTCAAGTTCTAATCATGTTGAGTTGATAAACCACTCTCACATACTCGAAAGCGACGACGAAAGCGGAACTCATTCCTTCCGCTTTACTAATTTGGTAACTTAGTTATTCCTAATATTTCGTATTGTTATAGACTTCTTTTATATATTGTTTGTTGATTGAAGATTTTTAGAATTGATACAAACAATTTTAAAAATTTCTATATTACAAAAATTTTTAATAAACATACATATAAAAAATACAATAAATACTTAAAAATATATTCAAAAAAATATTGTTTTGATATATTATAATAATATAAAAAAATTGCATCTTTATGTTAAAATGACTATTAAAAAATAGGCCATATTCATAAGTAAAGTTTATTATTAGTATATTAAATATATATAAGAAAAAATATTTATCAATAAAATTATTTTAAGATTTATTACTTTTGCAAAATAAGTCTTTAGTGCAATAATCGACGAGCATAACGAAATTCGAGGCACATTTTTTGTCTCGTTATTTTTCTCGTAATCTCATAAATATGTATGATTACTTTCGTTCGCGGCTGGCAACTTCGAATCTAGGTATATAGGGCGATCTCTTCCTTTTGCGATAAGCTGATAAATAATTTCCTATTACACATAAATTAGATTTGTATGTTCCGTTTGATGCCGATAGCATAAAGTTATTTAAAACCGAAACGAAATTTTGCCTATTGTTGCAAAAATAGAGCGTACAACAGCGATAATAAGCTTCACATTCACTTACATATATTGGTATCGTGTTACTTCAATAATGGAAAAATATACGTATGTGCGCTAAATAACTCGTATGTGACTCAGTTTCACTGCGTTGATATATTGTGTATATATGAAAGTATAAGGAGAATACGATTATGAAAAAATTGTGTACTTTAAGCGAGCAATATGACATATAAAATACTATTAAAAATAAAAATATAATTTCATATAAAAACGTTCTTTAATAGAAATTTATTCTCTGTTATTTTGAAAGCATATTCACGATAAGTTTTATCTGCCAAGTGACAATAAAATATGTTAAACCACGCGGCATCCATCCGGAAACCTTTTGCATTGATGACAATAAAATAAAATTTATCAACACTCGTTGATAATATATATTTACATAAAAAAATATTGTTAAATAAAAAATGATATTTTCTAAAAAGTTATTAACATGCTATTTATATGAAACCGATTGATACGAGCAATCAATAATAAACTAGTTGTGTGAGAAGTATTTTATTCATTTAATTAAAAATAAATTATTAAAAATGTTACATTTTTATAAAGAATTATAATATTAAATCTTTCCAGCGTTTATATATATAAATGGTAATATAATAAGTACTAACACACTATAATAATAAAATACTTTAAATATATAAATAGTGCGCGCTTAGCGCACATTATATATTAATATTAATAATATCGTTATAAAATTAATGAAACAAAATTAATGTCAGAGTACCTACGCAAAGTTATTTTTTATATTTCACGCGAAAATAAAAATCACCTAAGTCCGTTACATAATTATAACTTTATGCTAAACGGTTCGATAGTATTCTCATGGGCTTCAAAGGCCACAGGAACAAAGAAGATGTATAGGAATGTCAAAGTTTACCTGAATATGCGATTAAGCAGTTTAACAAACTATAGAACAAACGCAATAGAAACACGATGCGATCCACTGACCACGAGGATTAATTTAAATTGAACCACCGAACTGCATTGTGTAAAACTGCAGTCGCTTCTAGTCTCTGGTAACAACGGGAAAGACGAATTGGGGCGTGTACGCATGTCGTTTGAGAGATAAAAACCCTCTGATTCAATCGAGCTATCGCGCACTCGTTATGTCAGTTAAATGTCGATGTAATGCGCGTTCGATTGCACGTGCTCGTGCAATCGCACGATAAACGTCATTTAACTTCACGGTCTCCGTTAATTATTACCGATGGTCAATTAATTATTATACGCTCCCACGAAGCTTCATGAAACGTTAAATTAATTTCTATCACGATCATCTAATATATCTATTATGCCGCATTTCACGGTCCATTACGAATGCATATTATTCACAGATAGGCATCTATAAATGCAGCCCATTGTCAGAAAGATTGAATAATTCCCATTATATAATACAAATAGTATATAAATACATTATAGAAAAATATTGCGTGTTTTTCTGCTTGAAAAAATGTCGAAAGATGTACTTCAAATATCAACTAATTGTTTGATAATGGAAGGAATGATTGAGAGGTGACTTTGTTGCTCTTACCAACTTAATCCATCAGATTCCTTCCCTTTGTGGCAACAAGTAATTTCATCTCTTCGATTAAACGACAGAAAACTTAATTACTACCGCGTGTGTCGGCGTATCCCTGCGGGCATAGCAAGAGTTCTAATCGTCTCGAGCTCTGACCCTTGATGAGATTTCCAAAGCAAGTTACGCTCCTATTGAACCATATCATTCTCCTTTTCTGCCTCGTATATCGTATGGTACACTATCGAACATCGATAATAGCACACCACATAGCGTTTATCTATTTTTTTTTCATAAATTTGCTTTTAATCTTATCTTAATGATTTCTGTAAGAGGAAGCATGTCACGTGTTCGACATAACTTTATGAGTTTTTTTTTTAAACTTGTATCCACGAGGAAGAAGTGTCCATTCGAATGCCATTTAATTTCACTTTCACTTACTTGCACTTTGGACCTTCGTCGATTCTGGCGACGCAGAATGCGTTTGTGTGCATCAGCATGCACGGATCGGCGCATCTTGTGTATTACATTATATATAGGTATATAGGCGAAAATGCTCAATTGGAAATATTAAAAGACACGAAAATTCATTATTTGACGTGAGAAATCCAGAAAAAATCGTTATTCATTGTCGTTTTTCATTCCATAATGTTTCATTTGCATATAATCTAACTTTCTCTAATTATAATATATTGCACTCCTAATCATAGTAATATATCGAATCTTCTCGATAATACACAGCTAAATTATCAAACTATTATATTTAAATACTTCATGCATTATTCAAACAGCTTGCACTTAGTCAATCAAATAGTTAATTGTAAGACAAAAAAATATTATATTATATATAAAACTAATAATATTAAATATATTTAAATTTTATATTTTCCAAAAGATTTATGTTATATTAAATGTAATAATAAAAATATAAATTAAATATATAAAAAATTACGGAATTATATATGTATATTAAAATAATTATATTTTAATTATATTTTAATAATTAATCGTTGTTTCATTTTTTAAATTCAAAATTATGCTAAATTATATTCGAGAATTCGTAGCGTAAAAATGCAATCTCGCAAAATTTGAAGTGCTTTGCTGTGCTAGTAATTATAATTATCAGCATATTTTTACATTCCTCGAGGCACTACATGAAACTCGTTCAACTGTACACATTTTCTATTCAAATTCAAATTGCGAAGTAAGCATCGCGCAAATTCTACCTATGAAAAATAAAATACGTCAATGCATCACTATATGTATAATAAACATCATTCGATATTTGCGAGACTTGTATTACACAGCTGTCTTAAGTTCTCTATTTACTTGCTGTTCATTTTAAAAGCAATTCAAGATCGCCAGCGTGTCAAGGTTTGGATATTCATGATAGTCGTTCGCAATATTATAATGTCAATGTAAGGTGTAAGGCATTCGTTTCCGTTCCGAGACACGAGATAAAGCAAAACAAATATTGAATGAGCGCCTATTTATTGTCGACTGGAAGAAATTCATATGCGTTCATTGTCCTTTCCGATCGATGAGAAGAAGCGAAGCGTCGACTCCTGCAGATGTGCGCAAAGGATAAAAGGGAGAACGAGACGATTCAGATACATGGCACACCGGGTATCAGGTAGACCAAGGTGTTCGTCCGGTACGAGGCCAAGTGGGGATGAAGGTCACGGACTTGGCTCGTACAAACACCTCGACGACGCGCACCTAGACCTACATAGCAAGATAGCACGTCGCAACACGGTAACGATTTCTTGCTCCGAGATATGCACGTGCGGTCGGAGACCGGTAGTCGCAGCTTCCCCTTGCAATTAAAAGATAGACTTCTCAGTATCCCAGAGTTTACAAGATGCGAACGTTGCAAGACTGAATGGTATGAAAGAGTATTTCTTTGGTATACTTTTACCTATGATATTGAATTGAAAGTGGACACTTACGAAGGAATGTTTTTATTCATGAAGGTACGGTCAGCCAGTAGGATCGAAATCACTCTTTAGATGAAACTAAAACATGCAACTAAAAGATAGACTTCTTAGTATCCCAGAGTTTGCAAGATGCGAACGTTGTTTCATGATACAAGACTGAATAGTATGAAAGAGTATTTCTTTGGTATACTTTTACCTATAATACCGAATTAAAAGTGCACTTACGAAGAAATGTTTTTATTCCTGAAGATACGGTCAGCCAGTAGGATCGAATCACTTTTTAGATAAAACATTGCAGATTTTGGAATGTTTTATAAGAGAATAAATGTTCGCTATTTACTTATGATTTGATTAAATCTCATCTCTATTCGCGATCTGTGTTCCAGGTATCACTGACCTAGGCTACCCTCGTCCAGAGATGTGGTCACGCACGCAGCTCTTCCTCTTGGCATCAACGCTCGCGTTGCTGATCGGCCACCACGTCACCAGGTCGCAGCGACCGCGACTCGGTGGTGCCGTAAATGTCTTCACTCGTTACGGCTATCTGAGTATCAGCATGCGAGTGGTACCGCGTAATGACACTGAAACTTGGATATTCCGCGAGCCTACCCTCGACGTCTTCAAGAATGCCACACCATTGACGTCCAAGCAGCGTCAGGCACAGGCAAAAATAAACGCCGCCGTCTTCGATGGCGACTTCCACATGGAATTCTGCGACAATATCAGGCATGTAATTACATTTCATCTCCTTTTAAGATAGAAGAAGGAATTGAATCTTCTCCGTCAAAAATCAAAATTAAAAATTAATTTTGAAGACTTTTATGGCATCTATTTGCGACCTGTCTAGCGAAATACGAATTTGATATAAGATTACTTTTGTTATCTGTTTATTCCCTAACAGCACGCATTCGAAAGACGTTCAGAGGATATGCAGAAGATGTTCGAATATCATCTGAATATCCTCTGAACTCTTCTCCTCCTTTTCGGATATGTTGTGCTGTTAAGAGTTCTCTTTGAGTAGAGAAGAAAAGAAGATTCATCAAGAGATCGGGATGATAAATCATGTCTATTTTTATTAACTACATAAACGTGTTTGTGTTTATACAGGCAGCTTCTACAAGCGTACTTCCGTGACTTCACTTTCGAAAGACTGGAGAGGCCGTGGCGTGCCTTCACTGGAAGCTGGTCGAAGGCGGCAATAGCCAGGCACCTCGGCATAAACTCGTCCTTCATCACGGGCGATCATTGTTACGTTCTAGTGCGCGTCGCTAGATTCCGCGATAATCAACGACTCTCTGGCACCGCCGAGACCCTCATCCTCGATGATTCCGTGTTGCGGCAGACGGAGAACGTCACGGTCGGTGACACCGCGAGCGTTGTGCGATTCATCAGGAACTTCGGTTCGCACTACATCGCTTCTTACATCACAGGAAACTCGCTCTATCAGGTAATGTGATCAGATAAGTTAAGATGAACAGAGTTTAATATAGGTATGGATAAAATTCACATTTTCTATTCTAACTTCTAGTCTAATTTTTCGAGTCCACGCGAATATACTTGTTTTCAAAACATACTGATTCCGCAATCTGGATTTATTGAACAACTCTTCGAGCAAAAAGAAATAGAGCATACGATTAACAAATATTTTCAGGAATATTAGAAAAGTGTATTTCTCTGAAATCACATTTATTATTATGCAGGTATACTTAAATAAAGTAGCGATTAACCGGTTTAATATAAACGCGTAACAAGAATAAATAATAAATAATACTAAAAACGAGCATGATATTCTCTTTGCATCGATGCATCCTTCTTAATTATGCGGTTCGCTGATTGTTGTTGCAATCGGCTCGCCGTAAGAAGAATGCAGTCTCGGTGCAGTCTCGGTTAGATAAAAGTGAAACAAGCCTCATTTATCATACGCTCTCTCGCGCAACGGAAAGAGAAAGAGACGCGCGGTATTTTTATTTCCATTTAGGCGTAAAAACTGCACAGAAACGCCTTATTATACCGAACCTAATTCTCACTAGTAGTTTACGTCATCGCGTCAATGTCAGTAAAAGTAAAATGACGAAACTTTCTGCTGGAAATACACGCGATGCCGCAATCTAGAGATCCAATCTTTTTAATCTTCGTTAATTGGAAATGGTCAAAATCTGAAGCATCTTGTTGTCCTAAATATACAAATTCGCCATTATTTAAGAAAGTCGCATGACGAAATACTCGAAATGTTTTTTTTTTTCCAGGTCTTCGTGTACACTCCTCAGGTATATTCGCGAATAAAAGAACGGTTGAAAACGCGAGGAGTTGCAGAACTGTCAGCGCCCGAGCTAAGTAACTACTTCTCGCCTTGGTACGCTGAACACATGGGCTCCATACAATCGGCGAGTGGCAATCGTAGCGTAGAGGCATGGGCCGTGCAACGTCTTCGAGTGCAATATTATATCTTCACTTACGCCAGCCTGCTGAAATTGCACGGCGATACGGCGTTGCTTAAGCAACTGAACAGCCTGTTGGACGACGAGGCGCTGCTGCAATTGCAATTGCGGACATTGGCACCCGCTTTCAAGGATCCAAAAAGACGTGAATGGTTTATGGAAGTGATCGATAACTATTTCAAACTCTGGGAAGTGAATATGTGATAATGTAACGCGCCGGATGCGGACAAACTCAAAACATTTAGAATACGTGTCGCGTGTCAAATGACATTAGCGTGAAAATATTAAGTAACATTATTAATTTCAGCATGTAAAGATCCACGTATCTTTGGATCAGCTGAACAGATCACAACGATCTAGCGGCCATCACCATTCATCAACGAAAACTCTAGGTTTTTGTTGGATGGAGATATATCCTTTTGCCACATATACATATATAATGATATAAACCTGCGATATAAATGCTGTTATTGTTATAAATAAGTATTTATTATTGTAATCATATTAGAAAACGTCTTTTATGTGTATTTTTAATATATCGCAAATATTATTCGCACGCCTACGCGCGTACAATTTGACTGAAAAATGTCGTAAGTTTCTTTACTCAAAATTAATCTATTGATATAAAAGAATAAAAAAGATCATATATTTTAGACATAAAGATTTGTGTGCATTTTACATGTATTTGATTAACTTGATACCATTGTATGTACAATGAAATCAAATTAATGAAATTTTCGCTTGAGATATATTCGTATTTTATAATGAGTCTTGTTTTTTTTGTAAATCAAAAAATGTTTCCTTTCTCATATGCTTCTTCAGATAAATTGGGTGAAAAACAACATATTCATAAACAAAATACTCCGGCCAATATTATAGGAAAATGTGTATATTATTTAACAAATTGAACCCTGCGGTAAAGGTTGATTCTTTGCAAACAATTCTTTTTTTTTTTTACTTCTCTTTTTTCAATGCACATGACGCAAAATGCATCATTTTATAATTTTCGGCAAAAAAATTAATATAATATTTTAAATTAATTAAAGTATTTTAGATATTTGAATAAAATATCTTCTCTACCATAATAATTTTAAAGATGATACATATATCTTTTTATAATTAATACAATCAATGAAAATAAAATAAAAAACATTAAATTCCATTTTACTAATATATATATTAAGTCGTTGTTTGAAATATTGTAATAAATATTTGCAACACATAAATTAATTTTTATTAACGTACAATCAAATTGATAAATTAAGCTTTCGGTGTCATTGTATATCTTTATCATCTTAGTGGAAAATTGTGCAAATTATATGTTCAAGTATCCTGGAAATGCCCTTAAATTTTATATTCAAACTTTACTAGACACTCTGTCCAAAAAATTCGTAATTTCGAATATTAATATATATTGATACGTGTTTTTTATAAATTTCTTTTTATCACACTGAGGATTATTCGCGATTCATATTTTTCTATATTTTTAAACGTGCTGTTCCATTTTTTAATAAGTTTTGGCGACTAGAAACAATAATTAATTTTTTCGAAATTAGGTTTGACAATTAATTTTTTCTAGGGTTTTTATTTAGATAATGAAATTTTAGTTTACGACACAATGTTTTCAATATTTTTTATTTTCAAGCCGAGGACCATTTTATTAATGTATCTCGATATTTTTAAACACGCTATATTTCATTTTTTTAATATTCATATCTTTTTATTTAATTTCTTTTTGTTTTAATGATAATTATAGCTGCGATAATTAAATTTTCCTAATTATATCTACTCTATAACTTTTGTTACGTGTTTCCTCAATTTTTTTTGTACCGCTGAAATAGTATTTTGGCAGGTTCTAATAAAGTATTAAAAATCGATACTTTGTTCCTGCAGACACACTTTTCTATACAATACACACTTTTATTATATGTATATATTAAATACAAGGTGTGACTTTCATGTGACCTTAAAATGACTATCCAAGGTCAAAATCTTTATATATCTTATGTCCCTTTTACAGCCATATACCTTTGAAATGTTTGAAACATTTTTTCTAAAATCCCCTGATTTTGAGATATTTTTATCCGAAAGTTAAAATGGGACACCTTGTATATATGCATACAATAAAAATAGCATTACTGTATATAGATGTGTATGGTGTATAATTTTAGTCTTGTGTATGTCACAAATCGTATTTTTTATATTGTTTTTTACGCTATAATAAAATTCATATCCCATGATCGCGGGTAAAGTGTCCCGTACGTGTGTATTAAACTATAATCTTAATTAACCATATTTTTGTGAATGAATGTAAGTGCCATGAGGAAACATAACAAAGGATAAACATACGAAAAGGAGCTCCGGAGAAACGATATAATAGTCGGGTGAAGGACGGTGAGAAACGGTGTTTAGTAAGTAATTTATATTCATATTTATAGTATTTTTAAAATATATACATACATAATATACGTATACATATATTTTTCTTTAACATTTTTTATTAATAAAATATATTATTAATAAAAATCACATTGATATTGCCATGAAGTATATTTATTGCATATATAAATATTAATAAAAAATGTACGGAAACGCGTAAATAAATAAAATGTAATAAGACTAATAATAAATACAAGATATATTCAATTCTGTTAGTTTAGAAACTAAAAATGTTTTAAAATACTATAGTTGAATATGTAATTAACTATATTAAATATATTTTTTATAAAGATTATTAATTTATTTATAGAAAACATTTCTTTGTACATATGTATACATTTTGATTAATATAGATATTTGAAATAGATAGCCTAATAAAATATAATAACAGGAAATAACACACGATATTACGACAAGCATATAAATGTATACGATTCTACGCAAAATAAATTTTTTAATATACAAATTAATTGAAAGTCGATAAAAATTATATATAATTATGAAATTTGTAAAAAAGATTTTTGCTTTCTGTGTTTTATAACAATTTAATTATGTTACAAGTGACAAAGTATTAAATACCAAATAATAATACGACTTAAAATATAAATAAGATATTAAAAATAGTTTTTGTTTCACAATCAGTCAAACTTAAATATAAAAAATAGTCTTATCGCTCTATAAATTGACAGATGCATTGTTTTTTATTTTTTCGAACTATATTCACGCCTAATTAATATAGTTATAAAAGAAAAATATATGTCTATATCTTTTTTCTTGTGGTTCTTACTCTGAGCAGCTTATAAAATATGAAATTGATATAACATATATTCTAGATTATTAGTTTTGATTATGGCTAATATAATGTTTGAAATATATTTGAAATTTATATATATATATATATATATATATATATATATATATCGTAATATATTAAAAAATGTATATGTTTAAATGTATTGATTAGTTTCATCGTTAGCTATTCGCACTGTTATTCAAAAGCAAATATAAGTTCGAAAATCATCTATTACTGAGGACTAATTATGTAATCCAATGTCCAATTAACTTATTATTGAATAGCTTATCCAATTTAATCTGTCATTTTATAACTATGCAAATTTGCGCTTGCTTGTTGCTCTCGACCCAATTTTCTTCCATTAACTACAAGTACAATTGGGGTTTCGACGCGAATAGATTTGTAGTCAAATTCCTAGAAATGAAAGAAAAACGTACAATGTATATTGTAAGTATTCGACAATACTTGCTTTATAAAAAAATGTGCACACAATACTAACATTATTCATATAGGAGAATTTTTGATGTATCACAAAAGGCTCTGGTATACCAACAGAATCCCCAACTGTAACTCCTCGGCCTTTAGCTAGATTGTATACAGTAACAACAATACATGTTTTCTGCTCATCCACAAGGCAAAAAGCACTGAAAAAATTAAGTAATTATTTGTATTAATAAATAAGTATAAAATAAAGAAACGACATTTTACATCATGTTACATTATGCACAACATTTGTAAATACTTACAATGGAACACAATCCGAGTCTTGTATCCAACAAACTACTTTTCCAAATACAACTTTCTCGATATTCAGTCCAAGAGCTAATTCTTTCAATGAAATTAAATCTAATTTTAACGACTTCTCTCCAGATGTGTATGATCCACCTTTGTATGGTCCTAAATGTTTAATATCCAATCCCTACATTTAATCATAAACCTATAAATATGTTTGTTATGCCAAAATCACATATAATTATTTTGAATTATTAATTCTACTAATTGTTATCAATTTTTATTATATAAATACCCGTATTAATTGATATAATCGTTTTGGTTTTACATGTCCATTGTTATTAATTGAATTTTGAATATCTTTAAGATATTTTAGTAATTCATCTTTTTTGTTGCGTGGTGTTTCCCATAGTGGATCAAGTGTCATTGCATTTTCGAATGATTGTAATGCAAGATTATATTCTTCTTGATATTTTAGAGCCTAAAATAAATTTATAGATTTTGAGTAATTATAAAAAAAATTTAATTAAAAATGTTAAACAATAACAGAAAGATTATAAAATTTAATTAACACTTACTATTGCCTTGTTATAAAACAAATCCGGATTACTTCTCGCAATAATATCTTTCTCCTAAAAAAAGGTAGTACAGCTTTAATTTTCAGAGAATAATATATATGTACTATATGCAATAACATATGGTTAAATGAAAAAATGTAGATAGATATTCATGACTACTTTACTTACCGCTTGCATATATGCTGACATGCATAAACGTAAAGTATTTGGGTTTTGTGTTACTGTAAAGAAAGAAGACAAATAAGAATTTCCTAATATTGCCCAAGATACTCCATCAGTTGTATCAAGGCTTACAGCTTCTTTAGCATACTCAACTCCCTGTTGAATATTTTTTGTCCGTTGTTCAATAGATGAAGTTTGTTCTTGTCTAAGCACCATTGATAAATTTCGCAAAGACACTTTATTTCTACCCTGAAAAAAATGATATATATATATAATATACAATAAATTCTTATAAATTCTTAAACAGAAAGTCTCTAAAGACTGAGAAGAAAAAAAATGTACATGTTGCACAGCACCAACAAAACAATTCTTTGCTTGTTTTATATCATCATTCTTCCAATAACATTCCCCTAATTCATTCCACGCTTCTATTAATTTAGGCTCCAATTTCACAGCTTTACTTAAAAGTTCCTCTGCTTGTGGAATAAAACGATCCACTACATTTAGTGCTCTTCCTTTTAAATAATAATACTTTGCACGTGAGCCATCTATCTCATATCCATTACACTCATCAAACTTGCTCAGCGTGTCTTTCATCTCCTTTTCCACATCGGTATTTTTCTTTATCGCTTCATTGATAGAATGTGTTTCAAAGTAGCGATCTCGAAAGAGATACAAGGCTTTCACTTTTTCCTGAAACCAATTATGCAGCAGATGTATATAACAATAGTAACATGTTGTGTCAAATGAAATAAATACAAGAAATATATTTTACATACCGTTAACGCTACAATTGGGTCTTCTTTAATCGTATTTGAATTCTTCGCACCTGCAACAACTTTATCATCTATAATTGCAGACATTTTTCTCGAGCTATACTATATGATGTGCAGTAAATAAACATTATTCTATTCACATGTCTTTCAGACGGCGGAAAACTTATTTATAATTTGTTGCGATTATAGGAATTCTCTTATGATACAAACGTATCATTCCCATTTAATCTAACCAAATTGTCAAAAGCAATAAGCGTATGTAGTAGTGCGTAAAGATTATTTATGAATGAAAGAATACATCGCATTCTTACACATGAACATATGACTGATCTATTTACGGTAAGGTTATACTACGATAGAGAGATGATTTGCAGCGCCGCCTGTGGCGTATATGCGTATTAAACTGCGCGCTTCGATATTGCAAATGGCGATTCGAAACAAGTAACGCGTCGCGAGTGTTGATGCATCTCGAGAATAAATACGAAAAATCCTGCATAAAAACAAGTTTTGACAAGCCACTTTTGTGAGTCATCTTTCTCTTTTATTGTTTAAGAAATGGAAATGGTGTAATTTCATTGGAAATCTCAAAATATATTGCGTAAGATAGCAAATTAGATAGCAGAGTCGTACGCAAAGTGAAAATAATTAAATGTTTTGAAGCGCTAAAAAGAGATAAAAAATCTTTGTCATGTTTTTGGCCTGATTAGTTAATAACGAAACTATTAATTACGTTGTAATATCATGAATATACGTAAATGTATGCACTTACTGTATATAAATCTCGGTAGCAAAAGTGATGCAAATCACTTCGACATCAAAATGCGGTTATATGTATATCGCTACCTGAGAATTTAGGTATAGAATATAACATTTGTCTATTGCTTGTGTGATCTAAACTGAGCGAAATAAGAACTAATGTAATAATGCTCTTAAAATTTTCGAAAATCTAGATTTGCATATTATTCGGAGTTTAAATGATATTATCTATCTATATATATATATATATATATATATATATATATATGAACATCCTGAGGATGTTCAAATATCTCTGGATATTTTCTAAATATCCTCTAAATATATTTTGAATATGTTGTGCTATTATATAGAGTAATATGTTTTTTTTGAAGAATTTTGCATGTATGTTATCTGATTGATTTTTATTATATGTAACTTGTTGCCTAAATTATTTATTTACAGATATTGGCTGATGTCTGGAGACTTTGAGTGTTGTGGAAAAACTCGACGAAATTTGTAGAAAATCAGCAACGGTGAGTGCTAAAAATACAATTATTTTCAAACTTTATGCTGCAATAGTCTACTTAAAATGCAAAGGTTATAGGTATAGAATATTTATACCTTTTCTAAGAAAATATAGAACAGAGGAACTTTATTTTATTTTGGACAAATACAAATAATTTAACATAAATATTAGTGAAAGATTTTGAAACACATTATAATATTCAATGTGTGTCAATAAATTAATAGTTACTGCAAATTTATTTTATTCTTGCTTGCTACTGATGAAGTTAATTAAATCAGTATACAGGAAAACTGATGTTACATTATCAATATAAATAAAATTTCATATAAAAAATATGTTATTTATATAAGTTTTGTATGAATATTTTTATATCAATTAAATATTTGAATAGCAAACTGCTTATATTGTATCAAATCACTGGATACAATATTCAATGTGGCAATCATATCTTTAAAATAATTGTACATCCTAGACTTTTTTCCTGTGTTACGTATTCGCGAAGATTTAATGAATATAAAATTATTGAAACTATAGCTATTTTATATGATGATAATTAAGCAGTTCCTCAGAAAAACGTTGTAACTTATTAGTTAAAATTTGTACTTATTTAAAATATTTATTTAACAAAATATTGAGTAAATTAATATATTATGAAATATTAATAATATAATCAAATCAGACTTATTGGATAATATTTTTTACATAAGAATTATTTTTGTTATAATATAAATTTTTTAAATAATATATATTAATAATATTAATAAATTTCTCATTTTGTAATTGATTTCTTTTTAATGTAAAATAACTTGTAAACATAGTGTTTGCAACGTTTTTCAATTGGTATCTTAATTATATTTAAGGCGAATTGATAGAGATGATGATGTAGATAAACAGCATATCTACGTACATAAGTGTGATTACATCTTGATACAAAATATACATATACATACATACACGCAGTAGTACAAAGTTACAAATATAATCTCGTAATATCACTTCTCAATCATACATTTTTTTAAAAATTTTATTGTCATGTTAAACGTGAAATGTTAATTTATGTTTTTATCTTAATTCAAGTGTAATATGAACGAAACTAGACAAATACGTCCTTTGCAAAAATTTGATTTAAAAATACTCTTTTGCACTTCACAATTTCTCAGCTCTATTTTGTTATTTGGCAAATATGTGTCGTCTATTGTGGCGGACGTGTCGTCGTCGTTTCATGCACGTGGCACAACACTTTTCTCGCACGATCGATGATGTATCACACATACGTTTGTAGTTTGCACACGACGGAACTATGCTATCCTTGCAATCTGAAAAAAGTTATATATATAGATATACATATATGTTATCTGTGACCATTCACAAATATAATTTGTAACTTGAAAAGAAGGTATAACAAATTAATTATTGGACGTGTGTATTATTACAAAAAAAATTAGGCGATATTTAAAACTTCTTTACACGCGTTATAAAAAAAAACGAACATTATAAGTAAAAAAATTCAATTGTTCAAAATTTGATACACAAATCTCTAGAATTCATTGCATATGCTAATGATACTTGTTACGGAAATTAGAATACTTTATAATAAGTATTTATACGTACGCTCGCGCGGATTGGGTGCATTATATGCACATGCAAATCGAGCGACATGGCGTATGATCTCATAAAGCAAGTTGTTACGAGCCGCGGTTTTCTCATATAAATTCTAGTTTCTCGACACCTTTAGATAGAGCATATTCTGCAACTTTGGACAAGCCAAACGCTCTATAACGTTACTAGTATAATTTAACATTACATATAGTTACGTGTTCCAATTCTCTCGACTCAATTATTATTCTATTTGTCAGAAACTTTTATTCAATATCAATTGCTGTGACGCGACAAATGTGAGTTTATAACTTTTAAATATTGCACAGGAAGGAGTATAATTGTTAATTGTTTATTATTAATGTTACGCAGCAATTAGCCAAATCTTTTTATATTATATTATATTTAATTACTTAATTTTTATCTTAATTTGAAAGTCTTTTATCAAGATTTGAAAACATACAATTATGAATTTCGCAAAATACAACAATTTTTCTATATAAAAACAGAATGTTTTTAATATAGAAAATACACGCGGAAGGTTTTCTCGTTTCTGAGGATAAAATTTAACTATGAAGATGTATTACCATTTTTCTCATTAGTACATTGCCGTCGATAATAACAGCGCTTTGTATCAAACGGTCTTCTATCAAGATTACAATCATTGGATAGCAAGTTTGTCGCACGATCACGGCATTGCACTTCTCTACGTTTAATTCCAGACTTTACGAGACAGGTCGCGTTGCAACTTCCCCAATTTCCTGTAATTGCAATTAAATAAACAGCTTTATATGAGGATATTCGTATTAACACATTTAACAAGTATGCACTAGATATTCCATTAAATACTATGGAAATATCTATATAATCTCACGGAATTATAAATTTTTATCGAAGTTACATTTTAATTAATAAAATATTTGTTGTAAATTTAATTTAATTTTAATTAGAAGAAATTCTATTTGTATATATTGAAAGAAAAAAGGGATATACACACTCTTTGTATAATATCGCATAAACCATCTGTAGCTTACCGGAGATCCATTTTCCACTATAACAATCCTCGACGCTGTTCGGCTTGTTATCCGGATTACAATCGCCCGGAACGGAGCAGGTGACTTTCCTGCTCCTCTTGCCATTAGAACAGTGACTCCATTTCGATACCGTCCACTTCGACTTAGTGTTGTACATAGAATTGTCCGGGTTCTCGTCGACGACGTTGTCGAATTCGAGAATTTCGGGCTCTTCGGTGGTGAGGCTATCGACTATCGTAATACCGTCCTGCTCGTTCAGGCTGATATTGTAAAATGACATGTCCTTGTTGTCAGCGTACACGAATAGTGGTATCTCCGAGGTAGGCCCGCATGGCGGCAAATCGGGGCAAGGTTCCACTTCTTCGGGTCGCATGTTCTTATTGCAATCGCGATCGGGTAGAGCCAAGTCTGATCGATCAGTACCGGCACCGGAGAACACGCACATTACTGATCTTTTGCGCAGCGCGCCATCGCCGCACGTAACAGGGCACATTTGCCACGGACCCACCCACCATCTAAAAGTTGTAAAACTTTTTTACACTCTTTTACATAAGACATCGAATAACTTTAAATTGTTATCTGCAATTATTTTATAAAATTCAATCAATAGAGAGAGTTTCTCCATTATAGAGCAAAAATATAGAAAAGATGACGACCGAAAAGTGAATAAAGTTTTATTCAACCGCTTCGAGAAAATTCCTGTTACGAGATAATAATGTTATTCGAAGTTCTTCGAATTTTGTCACAATCGTTTTATCGGACTCGAAGTTAGAATTTACCTCGCGGGGCATGGATTCGAATTGCATTCGCGCGACTTTGGTTCCGGCTTCTCTATACCGTCACAGAAATAGTCCTCGACGGTACCGCTCTTCCTTTCGCGACAGATAGCGTGCGAAGTTTGAGTGCCACCGCCGCAAGTGACCGTACAGAGAGTCCAATCGGAGAATGTCCATGAGTATTCTGGAGCTCGATCAGGCTTCTTCTTCGGCACAGTGTATTCGTAACGTAATCCGAAGTTGCGATATTGACCTCTGTAAATTAACTGAAATAATGGAACTCGACAATTAATTATGACAGCCAAAGAAACGAAAATTGTTTTACTAAAATCTATCGAATCGCGAACTTGGCATATAATATAAATATGACATAAATTTCAAATTTCGGAATTCAAATGGAAAACATTGTAAATAAATGCATAAAATATTTTAATTTGTAGGTATAATTAAATATTAAGTTTTTTATATGCAGTTTATCGAGATAATATATTACATAGACTACGATGTCTTCCTTGATAGGTCCTGGGATTCTAATCTTCTCTCTGTCTCGATCACGTTCATATAAAGCTGGCGTTCCAGCGACTTCGTATTCGCCCGCTAAAGTGATCTGCCTGTCTAATCAAAATCTCAGTTTAAGATTACGCACATATTAATATTATGAAAATTTTTTGTTCATCAAAGTGCAAGTCT